CTCTGTCTTTCTGGTGAGCGCACGTGCCCTATAGCAAAAACCTCTCCAAAAAAAAAAAGGAAAAGCTAAACAGCAGTTCTGGCAGTCAGCCTCCGTAGGCTCTCAGAACGGGAAGCAGGAGAGTGAGGCCGGCCATTTGATTTCCTCTGTGCACCTACTGTGAGTCCTGGAAACTTACTCATGTTTTTTAAATGCTTAATAGTAAGACGAGGTGAGTTTTCACCTGGTAATGGGGCCAGAGTCCAAGCCGTGACAGGGCTCCTGGGCCAGGTGGAGGGGACTGGAGACCTGCAGGGCTTTTCAGGGGGCCCTGGGCAGGCTGGTGGGTGTCCCTGAGTCCCTGAGCGAATGGGCCTCGAGGGCGGGGTGGGGGCTGGACTGAGCAGGTTTCTTACCAGGCGCAGGAGGCCGACGCCATCACTCTGGATGGAGGTGCCATCTACGAGGCGGGGAAGGAACTTGGCCTGAAGCCCGTGGTGGGCGAAGTATACGATCAAGGTGAGGGGCAGAGTCTCCAGCTCCCCCCTCCCCAGCTCCAAACTGGCCATCAGGTCGGTCCACAGAGCCGTCCTTGGGGCCCAGCCACGCAAGCCTTCAGAGAACCCCCTAACCCTCTGAATTGGAGGCAGGAGTGCCAGGGACACGGCGCTGACCCGCACCCATTCATCCTCGTGGGGGCCAGCAGCCCCAACTCATGCTCAGGAAGCCCCTGCTGAGGGGTTCCCCAGGCCCTCGGAGCGCTGGGTGCGCGCCCACGGAGGGCCCGCTGCCTGCCAGCGCCGGTGCCTTTCTGTCAGGGCAGCAGAGTGGGGACACCGCTGGCAGGAGAGGTGAGGACAGGCACCCCGGAGTCCAGCAGGCCCAGAGCGGGACCCCAGCTCTGCCCTTTCCCATGACCGCCGACGCCCGTCCCTGGCTATGAGACAGAGATAACGCCTGCCCTGTCACATCCATTAAGTGAGCCCCCGCGTGTGCCCACCTGGCACGGGGAGTGTGCCGAGAGGTGTGGGGTCCCCCTGCCAGATACGCTGCAGCTCAGCCTGTCCACACCACCTGTCCTTGTTCAGCACCTGCCTGTCTCAGGCCAGCATGGTGGTTACCCCCAAGGAGCCGCCTGAGCCATCCCCACCCCCACACGGCACCTCTCTCCCCTGATGGCTCCCACAGCCTCCAGAAGCCCCCTTGACCCTGGTAGTCCCCGAGGGAGACCCGTCCTGGTCCTTGCGCCCTCTCTGCTGCTCTGCACGGGGTCTCTTGGAGAAGGTGTGGGCCAGATGTGGTTGAATGAGTGCTGTCAGTCCAACCCACGAACCGCTGGTGGCCTCGGGGCCAGGCCCTTCCTGCCTGGTTACTTCAGCCCATCCGAGACCGGCTGCCCGCTCACCCCAGGCAGCAGACCCGCCCCTGCCTGCAGGAGCCGGAGGCAGTGACAGGCCACGAACGCGGGGTCCACGTGGCAGGGGCTCTGAAGAAAAGTGAAGGCTGTGAAGGAGCAAATGGGGGCCATGGGGAATGCCTGGTGGCAGAGCAGCCCCGAGGGGCCTCTGGAAACCTAGGCTGAGCCCTGATGGACACCCCAGGGGACATCCTGGTGGCCCAGGAGCTGGAGGGGAAGGGTGTCCTGGGTGCCCACGAGCTGCTCCAGCTGGCAGGGCCGGCCTCCTCTAGAACTCGGCTTCATTGTGGTCGTGGCTGGCACAGGTGTGTGCATGTGTGTGTGTGTAAGTGTATGTGAGAGAGTGTGAGAGTTAGGTGACTGTGAGAGTGAGTGTGTGAAACTGAGAGTGTGTGACAGGATGTGACAGTGTATGCAACAGAGAATGGACAAGTGTGTGCGTAATGCTCGTTATGTGTGTGTGACTGTGTGTGAGCTGACTGTTGAGAATGTGTGAAAGAATGTGGCGACTGTGTGTGACGATGAGTGTAGCAATGAATGTGGAAGTATGTGTGAGGGTGTGTGTGTTTATGTGAAAGAATGCGTGTGAGGGGTATGCGTGACAGATTACGTGTGAGTGTGCATGTGAAAGTGTGAGCATGTATATGTGAGTGTGCACGTGAGTGCACGTGAAAGTATGTGAGTGTGCGTGTGCATGTACGTGTGTAAGTGAACGTGTGTGAGTGTGCGCATGAGTGTGTGAGTGCGTGTACATGAGACAGCATGAGAGAAGAACGCGAGGGCGTTCTGTGAGAGATCGAGCGTGCCTGTGCACGCCTTTGTCTCGTGGAGGCCCTCTGGTCGTCATCCCTGTGGCTAAGCCGTCTGTGTCTCGTCTGAGTGGCCCTTCTGGGCCCCCCGTGGGCCCAAGGGGGTCTTTTGGAGGCTGCAGAGCCCTCCCACGTGCCTCCACCCCCCAGCCCTTGGGGCTCCTGAGTGGTCTGGGGCCACACTGCCAGCTCTCTCTGTCCCCCGTCTCTCTCTGCCCCTGCCCACCTGTCCCCTCAGCCCCTAGAATTCACTTTTCCTGACTGAGCAAATCCCTGCCCTGCTTCCCTGCCCCTCGGACCCACAAGTTCCCCCGTCCCAGGCCGCTCTGCCCTCTGCCCACCTCCGTGCCCCCGTGACTTGCACAGCTGTGGTCCCAGCAAAGCAGCAGCTGGCTGGGCAGGAAAAGGGGGAGCTCAGGGAAGGGACGAGAATCTCCAGAGAGTACCCGGCTCAGGAGGCTAGTGGAGGGAGGGCAAGGCCTGGTACGAGCAGGCAGGTCGCGCCCACCTGCCCTCCCGGTAGCTAGAAGGCCGTGCACACATCCACACGGACACCCACACCTGCAGCACGCAGCCTTCGCCGCGGCTGTCCCAGGCAGGGCAGCCCTGGGGCCTCCCTCAAGGCCTCTCCCTCAGCCCGCTCCTCACCCCTCCTAGAGGTCGGGACCTCCTATTACGCCGTGGCTGTGGTCAAGCGGAGCTCCTCTGTGACCATCAACACCCTGAGGGGCGTGAAGTCCTGCCACACGGGCATCAACCGGACGGTGGGCTGGAACGTGCCCGTGGGCTACCTGGTGGACAGCGGCCGCCTCTCGGTGATGGGCTGCGACGTGCTCAAAGGTGAGGGCTTCGGGCCAGGCAGGGGCTCTCTGGGTGCCCTCTCCCTCTTTTCATTCCTTCGCTGGGTAGCCCCCTCTGGCCTCAGCTTCATCCTGCACTCCTTCAGAGGTGCAGCAAAGCCCCCCACCAGGGTCCGCCCAGACACGCACGCGGTGGAATCCCTCCCTGCCTCTGCGGGCCAGCCCCATGTTGGCACCGTGTGAGTTTCTGGTTGATTAGTCCCTGCGGTGCGTGGCTTGGCCCACACTGGCCACAGTGTCCCACACGACATTGCCAGGCACAGGGCCCAGCCCACGGTGGGAGCTGACGAACTGCAAGGGAGCGATCTGTACCACCTGTCTAGACACGGCACGGTCATGGCAGCGTTTCCTTCACGTCACAATTTTTTCAAGGCACAAATAAGCTACTGACCTGCACCGAGAAAGCTCCCAGGTGGCGAGAGGCCCAACCAGCAGGTGAGCCAGCACAGGGCCCGAGCCTGGGAGCTGCCGCCTCTCAGGTGGAGGCCAAGGGTGGGGCAGAGCTATCGAGCGTCTGCTCCTCCACTCCTCCGGGAGAGGAGAGTGGCTGGCCCTGGGAGAGCTCGGCTCCACTGGGCGTGCGTGTGGCTCCGTGGGCTCGGGTGCAGGCAGCTGGTGTCCTCCCCCTTCCCAGGATAAGTCACTGTGAAGGGGTGGGTGTGAGGCCGACCCAGGCCTCCTGCTCAGCTCCCGCTTCCCCTGTGCTCTGAGAAGTGTTCCCATCAGATGAATCTGCTCAGGAAGTAATTCTCTCTCTCCCCTTCCATTCATCTCCCGTAACTGCTTTGGAAACGAACCCCACACTGAGCAGTGTCTAGCGAATGTTTAGTTATCCTCTGTGATCACTTCTGAGTAAATGTGTTGTTCCCCTGAGCCATTTTTACTTTTTCTGAAGTTTACTAATTCCATGAGTGAAAGAGACACAGAGATACGGTGCCCGTAACAAGGTCCCCGCACACCCTCCACCCAGCCTCAGTCAGCGCGGGTCACGGGCTCACGCATGCCTGCCCTGCTCCAGGAGGTCTTCGGACACAAAGCCAGGGCCTTCCCACAGAGCATTGCATTTTCCTGTGCACCCTCAGACTGCCCCTTCATTTTATTTATTTATTTATTATCTATCTATCTATCTACTTACTTGTATTTATTAAGAATTCTTTTTATTTAACATTGTTTTATATATTTTAATTTAGCCAGAGTGAGAGAGGGGGAAAGTGAGAAAGCAAGCTGCCAGGTCCAGGACTTGAGCTGTGGTCAGCCATGTGGGAGTCCAGCGCTCTTAACCACCACGCCACCTGCTGCCTCCAGCCCCTCCATTTTAAAATAAGTCCCCTTGCTACTTCGTGGACCGGCCCGAGGATCACGGACCTTGTCCAGTTCCCCAGGTTGCCCAGACTGAGGCTAGAAGGTGACGGATTTTCAGGAGGCCAGATGCGGTTCCAGCAGAGCCCAGGCCCCCTGCCTCAGGCGGGGGATGTCCTGACGCATGGCTCTCTCGGGGGCCTGTGTCAGGGTCTGAAGAAGGGCCTGAGTGACCTCTCTGCTCTCCCACAGCTGTCAGTGACTACTTTGGAGGTAGCTGCGTGCCAGGGGCAGGAGAGACCAGTTACTCCAAGTCCCTCTGTCGCCTCTGCCGAGGTGACAGCTCCGGGGAAGGGGTGTGTGACAAGAGCCCCCTGGAGAGATACTACGACTACAGCGGGGCCTTCCGGTGAGGAGCCCTGGGGAGGCCGGCAGGGGAGGGGCTGAGTGCGGGCTGGAGGCCGCTGGAGGGGGGAAAAACCTTCACCCAGAGAGGGCCGGGGGCGTGGCCGTGGCAGCTGCGTCTCCTCAAAGCACCCTTTATTTAGTTCTGTGCCCTGGTTAGCTGGAAAACGTCAAGCTGCAATATGCCAGACTGGGTTTGCTCATAAAATCAACATGTTTGGTATATTTAGAGAGATGAGGGCTCCGAGGAGAAAATGGAAAAAAACAGCCTTTTTGCCACTCCCATGTCCCCATTCTGGTGTCTCAGACTCACAAGGAGGTGGAGGGGGTGGGGGTGCGGCCCGACACTAGGGCCACCCTGTCTGCCTAGTTAGGGCTGGCAGCAGGTTTAAGCCCTCGTGGGCCCAGTAGGGCATCCCCGCCAGCTAAGGGTGCAGTCCCTCTGTCCACGAATCCACGAATATGCTGACCTCTCCGCGGGGCTGGAGTGGAAGCCCCCAGCCACTCTCTGGCCATGTGACCTGGTGTTTCCACCCGGAAGTGAGAAAGCCTGATGGCGCCCCACATCCCAGGTGTGACCTGGCCGAACGCAGGTCTGGGCACAGAGCAGAAACCACACTCGGGACCTGCAAGCAGGTGACCCCTGCCCGCCTCAGCTGCCCATTCTCCTGAGCCCTCGAAGGCCTCTCCTGGGTTGTTTCACCCCTTCTCCATCCAATCCTGCTGCTTTTCTGGTGGTGGTGGTGAGGGGGGCGGGAACCAAGCATCTCCTTTGCCCCGCCGGCCGTGCCCGTGACGTGAAAGTCACTGTCCTGCTCAGGACATTTTGGATATGGTAGGAAAGGCCTTCTAGCCCAACCCTCTGCCTCAGGGCTAGATTGTCTTCAAAACACCCTGAGCGTGCAGTCGCTGACCGCAGCTGGCTCACGAGTCCCTGCTCCCGCCGGCCCCAGCCAGGCTGCACGTGGTCCGTGGGGGCTACATGCATCTCTCCTTGGGGCAGCCCTATGGGAGAGCTCCACGGTGATGGGCTGGGAAGGGAACGCGCCATGGCAAAGCCACATAGCAGCAGCCAAGGTGGAACCTGGGGCTGCCTGGCTAAAACCTGTACCCACCATGGCTACCCCACAAGGCCCGCCCTACAAAGTAGAGGATGGGCAGGGGACGAGGGACTTCAGGGGAGCTCCCCCACCCGGGCTCATGGTTTCTCTCCGCAGGTGCCTGGCAGAGGGGGCTGGGGATGTGGCCTTTGTGAAGCACAGCACGGTGCTGGAGAACACGGATGGTGAGAGGCGTGCGCCCCAGGAAGCGGGCTCTCGGGACCCCGGATGGCAGGCCAGGAGCAGGCACCTCAGCTTAGCACTGCTCTGAGTCTCCGGTGACCTCAGTGACCTCAGATGAGTCCCAGAGGGTCTGAACTTAGTGCAAAGGAAGAAGTGGCTCCCCCCAAGGAGTTCCAGTGGCTCCACGGGGCTGAGGATAGAGGGGCCAGCGAACAGCTCTGCTCTGCTCTGAGATGCGTATTCACCCGTTCCGTTTCCAACCGAAGGTTGGGATCTGCCCTTCCACGTTTCCAAACCTCCACGCTAGGTCTCATCTGCTGTCCCTTCCTGGCATTTTTTCTCCTCTCTCCTGAAGAAGCCATCCCTTCCCCCAAACAAGGGCTCCTCACTGCCGTTTCTGTTTTTAACTTTGGAGACAAGTGAGTTTCAGAAAAGTCGTGCAATGATTCAGACGGCTCCCATCAATTGTGAACCTCCATTCCCGCTTTTAGCCTTTTGCCACATTTGTTGTGTTGATCTGTGTGTGTGTGTGCACACGCATGTGTGTGCGTGCGCATTTTCTGACCTATTGGAGAGTACGTTTGCCTGTGTCATACACTTCGAACTCTTCATAATGTATTGGGTTATCGGAAAAGTCAGGACATTTTTCTATGTTTTTCTGTGCAAAAAGGGGGGTCATGACTTTTCCGACCCGGTATCTCCTAGGAAGATGTGTCCTCATCACAGCAACCTCTCAGGGACGGTGACTGATAAAGCACGAGTACCTTATCAGCAGTCCATGTTCCACGTCCACTGAGTGTCCCAACCTGTCCTTTGTAGCAGTTTTCACATGTTAAATTGCCGCATCGTAATTGTACGTATTCAGAGGGTACGCTGTGATTTGTCGGTGCGTGAACACGGTGCAGGATGATCAAATCAGGGTAGTGACTTATTCCTCATCTCAGACGTTTATCATTACCCGTGTTAGGGACATTCAAACCCTCTCTGTCAACTATTCTGAAATATTGTCAACTCTAGGTACCCCACTGTGCTATAGGATGCTAGAACTTACTGTTCTCTTTAAAAAAAAAAAAAAAAGTATTTATTTGGGGCCGCCAGGAGGCTTGGTTAAAGCACTGGACTCTCACATGGCTGACTGCAGTTCAAGTCTCAGACCTGGCAGCTTGCTTTCTCACTTTCCCTCTCTAGTCAAATTTAAATAATCACAATAATAACTAAAATTAAATAATTTTTGTTATAGGGTGCATGTGTTTGCTAGAGACAAAAAGCAAGAAATTAACCCCCAGGGGATGGTCACACTGCAATCCCTTTTCCTACATTCTCCTGTCTGGATCTTAGGCATGCACACACATATGCCTGACATGAGTTTCAAGTCACTGAGAGTCTAGTGATGTAACCATTATGCCATCTCCTGGTCCCAAACAAATATTTTTTAAAAAGGGACCAGCAGTTGGCATAATGGCTATGTCGCTGGACTCTCTCATCATCGACCCAATCTCGGGATCTTGGGCATGCACACACACGTACCCGGCATGAGTTTAAGCCACCGGGTCCAGGACGCAAACCGTGGTCAACTACGAGGGAGTGCAGCGACATAGCCATTACGCTAACTGCTGGTCCCTCAAATTAAAAATAATAATAGTTATAAATAAAATTAAATAAATAATTATTTTTTAATTTTTATTTAAAATGTATTAATTTTCTAAAGATCATATGCTTCACCAGAGAGAGTGAGAGAAAGTGAGAAAGCAAGCTGCCAGGTCCAGGACTCAAACTGCAGTTGACCATGTGGAAGTCCAGTGCCCTAACCACCATGTCACCTGCTGGCCCTGAACTTACTCCCTTACCTGTTTACGGGCTTACCAACATCCCTCCATCCCTAGTCCCCTGCCCAGCCTCCAGTAACCACTCCTCCTCGCTGCTTCCATGAGATCAGAATGAGCTTACGCACGTAAGAACAGGCGACATCGTCTTTCTGTGCCGGGTTATCTCAGTACAGTGTCCACCGGCCTTGTCTGTGTGGCCTGCAGTGACAGGGCTTTGCCCTACTGCGTACCGTGCCGCGTGTATGCACTCATTTCTCCTCCACATACCTCTCCATTCAGCCGTGAAAGATTCGTAAGCCGATGCCCTGTCTTGACTACCGTGGTCTTTGCCGCAATGTATTTTCAGGCCCTGGACCTAATCTGTGACCACGCATGGTGCTTACTTGCTAGATATCTTTAGTTTCATTTATCTTGGAACAGTTTCTCGGTTGTTTTTTGTTTTATGACATTGGTGTTTTTGAAGAGTGGGGTTAGTTATTTTATAGAACGATCCTCAATTTGGATTTACTTGAAGATCCTTTTTTTTTTTTAATTGAGGTTTAATTGACATGCAGCAAAATGTACCCTTTTGGAGTTTTGTCAGAAACGTACACTGCATAGCCAGCACGCAACCGAACACTGATGGCAGCAACCCTTCACCTCCAAACCTTCACCTCCAAAGTCTCCTCATGCCCGTCTCTGGTCTTCCTCTCTTGCCAACTGCCAGTAACCACCAGTCAGACTTCAGTTTCTCTAGTTTTGCCTATTCCAGAATGTCTGATCATCACCTTTATTAAAATCAATTTTTGGGGGGGATCAGCAGGTGGTGTAGTGGCTACATCACTGGACTCCCACATAGTCAACCACGGTTAGAGTCCCAGACCCAGTGGCCTAAAATGCACCGGGCACGTGTGCGTGCGTGCCCAAAATCCCAAGAGGAGAATGAAGGAGAAGGGATTGTGGCATGGCCATTCCCCCTGAGGGGTGATTTCTCACTTTCTGTCTCTCTGTCTCTTCTGTCTCTCCAGCAAGCACATGCACCCTATAGCAAAAATATCTCTCTCAAAAAAATCTTTTTGTTGTTATTGTTGATAATTATTACCTTTTTTTTTTTAAAGAGGTTTTTGCCTTGGGTTGCATGTACTTGCCAAAAGGAGAGAGAGAGAGACAGAGTCAGTGAGAGGAAAGTGAGAAATCGCCCTGCAGAGGGATGGCCATGACACAATCCCTTCTCCTCCACTCCCTTTCCTAGATCTTGGGTACACACGCACATACATCCAGCATGATTTTGAAGCCACCAGGTCCAGGACTTGAACCAGCCTGTCATGTGGGAGCTCAGCAACATAACTGTTATGCTATCTGCTGCCCTCCCCTTTTATTATGAGAGAGATAGGGTGTACAGGAGGAGGGAGAAAGTGGTGGCGTTTTTGACAGTCTTGCGGTGGTGACCCAGCCTTCCAGTTAGCAGGGTCACAGGCACATGCTACCCTGCCCAGCCTGTCCAGGTTGGTCTGGAAACTGAACCTGGCTCTTCCCGCCTTGGCCAGGTTCAAGCAGTGGCTCTCTACTGCTGGCACCACCATGGCTGGGCCAGTCGTCGCCCTTTAAATCAGACTGGCCATTGTGCAGTCTGAACTTTCTGAAGGCAAATGTGAACAAGCTATGAGAAAGAGGGAAACAAGCAGTCCCAAACGGGACAAAGCCCAAGGCATCCTCCCGGGGCAGGAAAGTCTTGTAACACTGGGCTGCCCTGGGCCGATGCCCCACAAGGAGTCAAGCAAAGAAGAATAGGGAGGTATTGGGTGAAAATGAGCTTTTTTTAAAGTTTGGATACTAATCTAAGAAAATCTGAGGAGGTCATTTTTAAAGGGTATTCTATGCAAAAAGATCATTAAGAGCGAAATAGCAGAATTGTCCCGAAGGTGTAATGCAGTGAGGGGATGGGGCTGCCATTGTCCCTAGCGATGAGAAACAGCAGTGGCCTTTGCACGGAGCTAACTGGCATCCCGCTCCTGGGAAGGCAGATGACACCCCAGAGAGCACGCAGAGGGCTGGCAGCAGTTTAAAAATAGAGAAAAGCTGGGGGGTGGGAGAGGATGCCGCGGAGGAACTGTGGAGAGTGCTAGAAACTGTCGCAGCTATTAAAAATGACCTTTATGGAGTTTTTCGAACTATTACTCTGTTGTTTTGGGGAGCTGTTTTTAAATAGCTTCAGGGTGAGCGTTTTCATGGTCCCACAAATTAACGTTTTCCCTTTCTTTTCCTTAACAGGGATTTTTCCCCCTCATTTTAATTTAAAAGTCATAAATATATTGTTACATAGGACCATCTGTGGCTTAGTTACAGCTCTTAATAGTCTCTTCTTCTTATTCTTATTTGGTATCAATCATCACTTTTTCACAGAAAATCTCATTTTCTAGAAAGAAGTAAGTGGGTTTTATGGAAAGTTTCCAATAATCTGGAAAAATACTTTAGAGCGATAAGTGGGGGAAGAAACATAGGATCCAAAATTGCCTATCATCCATGTCTGTTAACTATGTTAAAAAAATGATTAGCTAGGCCAGCAGGTGGAGTAGTGGTTATGGTGGCTGGACTCCCACATGGCCGACCACTGTTCAAGTCCCAGACCTGGCAGCTTGCTTTCTCACCTTCCTTCTCTCTCTATCTCTCTCTGGTCAACTTCAAAAAATAAAATAAAATAAAATAAAATAAAATAAAATAAAATATGATGAAGAGTAAAAATAAATAAAATAATTATTTTAAAAAAGCGGCTAGAAAACGGGGCCAGCAAGCGGCATGGTGGTTAAGGCGCTGGACGTCCATGTGGCTAACCACAGTTAGAGTCCTGGACCTGGGGGTTGCTTTCTCACTTTCTGTCTCTCTCTCTCTCTCTGGCGAGGGCATGTTCCCTATAGCAAATTAAAATAATAATAACAATAAGAACGATAAATAAAAATTAAATAGTTCTTTTAGAAAATAGAAATATTAATAGAAAAAAAGTCTTGAGAGGAGAACACCAAAATACTGATAGTTGAGGTTGTGGACAAAGCTTTCGGGCATTACCTTTTTCTCCATGGTACATGGTTCTGGGTAGTCTGTTGGCCTCTGCCCCCTGCCCCCTGCCCTCTGCTCAGAGCCAACCTTAGTATCTGATGGCAGGCAGTGACATCACCCCAGACTCTCTCTCACCCTAGCTTCACTTACTTTCTTCCTCTCTTTATCTTGAGCAGATACTCCTGTTTGTATGTTACTTTACTGCCAGGTACTTCAGATCTGTTTCATTACCAGGAATTAGTGATGGCCCCGCAGCACAGGGGCTTAGCACAGCGCACAGGGAGCCAGAGCCCACATGGCCCACCGTGGCTTGACAAACACGCCGGGCTCACATGCATGCGTGTCCAAAATCCTGACAGAGGGAGGGATGGAGGAAAGGATTGTGGTGCGGCCACATCCTCCTGGAAGGGGTTTCTTCTCTCTTTTTCTCTCTCGCTCTCTCTAGTGACCACACACACCCTCTGGTGATTAAAAAAAAAAAAGAAGAAGAAAAGAAAAGAAAAGAAAGAAAGAAAGGAATTGGTGAGGGTGGAAAACATCGGGAATCAGACACCAGCTATGTCGAGGCCTGGTCTCGCAGGGTGCAGGCACCAAGCTCTCCTCATTCAGGCTCTGGGTTCTCACCTCCGTGACACCTAGCCTCTCCCCAGTCCTCTCCTCCTGGGCCTCCCTCACCGTCCTCCAGGACAGAAGTAGGCTCACCCAGGCTTCCCGTCTCCACAGGAAGAACCCTGCCCTCCTGGGGCCAGGCACTGTTGTCGAAGGACTTCGAGCTGCTGTGCAGGGACGGCAGCCGGGCCGAGGTCACCGAGTGGAGGCGATGCCACCTGGCGCGGGTGCCTGCTCACGCCGTGGTGGTCCGAGCTGACGTGGACGGGGCCCTCATCTTCCGGCTGCTGAATGAAGGCCAGGTGGGCTCAGTGGCCACTGCACAGCCTCCTGGGCGTGCCGGCCTTCTGGTCACCCACCACAGGGAGCTCTGGGCGAAGAACAGGAGGGACAGGCCCCAGGTGGGGACCAGGCTGTGGCCAGGCTGAGGCCAGCCCAGCGTGAGTAAGGGATGACTAGGCAAGCTGGCCAGAGCAGGGAGACCACAGACGCAGGCGCCCCTCAGAGAAAACATCGCTAGAACAGGGGAGCAGACAGCGGGGCAGCATTGCCATCCCCACCTCCTCTGGTACTGAAATGTGGCAACCAAGGTGGCACCAAAGGCGACAGAGCAAAGGTTACAAAGCAACGGTTCTGCCCGCCCAGCCTTAGCTCGTGTTGCCCACCCACGTGCCACTGCCCAGTCCCGTAGCTTGTCCTCAGACCTACCCTTGCCTGGGTCATAGTGGCCGAACTGTGTGTGACAGGCCGGGCGAGTCAAGTGAAGACCCAGAGCACGGGGCGGGGGTGGAACTGGAGGAGGCGCCATGGAGGAGGGAGGCCTCCCTTGGCCCTGGGTGCCTGGCCAAGGCCACTGGGAGAGGGGGTGGCAGCCAGTGGGAGGGCAGGCCCACCCTCACCAGCACCACCCCACCCCACCGCCCCACACAGCGTCTGTTCAGCCACGAGGGCAGCAGCTTCCAGATGTTCAGCTCCGACGCCTACGGCCAGAAGAACCTGCTGTTCAAAGACGCCACCTTGGAGCTCGTGCCCATCGCCACGCAGACCTACGAGGCCTGGCTGGGCCGCGAATACCTGCACGCCATGAAGGGGCTGCTCTGTGACCCCAACCGTAAGTCCACCCATGCCTGCTGCCAGCTCTGGCCCTGCTCATCCTCGACAATGCAAGGTCGGGGTATAGGGGGGTGGCTCTTGGCCGCTGTGGGAGCCTGTCATGTCCACTTCTCTGCCTCTGGGGCTTTGAGGAGGGGCCTCTCTGTGGTGGCAAGGGCTGCTGGAGGCTGGGAGCCCCACTTGCTCCCAAAGTGGGGGATCCAGGCCACCAGGGTCTCTCTTGGGAACGGTCTCCTCCATGTAGGACTGTCTCATCCTGGCTTCTTCCTCCACACCACTCACCCCTCCTCCCTCTCCCCACCGCTTGGCCCCGGCCCTGGCTCGGGCACCTAGCTGTTTATTCCAGTGATCTGCAAGTGCGCTTCCTGCCCCTCGCTGGCCCTCACCCTCAGCCTACAGCCAGGGACCAGGTGGCCATGTGTGCCTCGAACCATCACAGTCCCGGGGGAGAGGTTCCGTTACCCCTTTCTGCATGAGACCCAGGGAGCAGGGGGTTAGACTCCTGATAGCCACCTCGCAGCTTCAAGAGGAAGACCCAGAACTTCCTTGGGGCTAATGCCAAGCCCTTCTCCGAGGCTCCTGGCCTGGCTGTGCCCCCTCGGGGGAGGCCGCACTGACACACACACCCCTCCAGGGCTGCCCCACTACCTGCGCTGGTGTGTGCTGTCAACTCCTGAGATCCAGAAGTGCGGCGACATGGCTGTGGCCTTCAGCCGGCAGGGGCTCAAGCCGGACATCCAGTGCGTGTCGGCCGAGTCCCCCCAGCACTGCGTGGAGCAGATCCAGGTGAGCCGTCCCCCTGGAGGGCGGAGTGGGCCCTGGGTGCTGGGCCACACCTGGGATGTCTATACAGCCTGGCCCCCAGCTGCATGTCTGCCATGATGACCTGACAGCCCACAGAAAGGGGGAGAGGTCGAGGGAGGGAAGGGGCTCTCCCCCTGGGGAGCCAGGGCTCTTTGCTCAGGGCACAGGAGCAGCGCTGGCCCCAGTCGATCCGCCATCGGTGACCAATTGGCACCCACCGTCCCTGGCCCTGGTGAGCCCCTCCCCCCTTCCAAATGTCAGCGCCCCTTTGTGGGCTGTAGGGGTGGGCCCGGGTCATTGTTACAGCTTTGGGGCAAAAACCCGCACTCAGAGGTTTTTACACAGGTCACCGTCTAGGGCACATAGACTTCTCTTTCGGATACACAGTATGTGAGGAAATGGCATCCTACACAGAGCCATCTGAAACCGGACGGTACTCGGTGTTTTCTCCTGTGTTCTATTTCTAGTCTTTTTTTTTTCTTTTGCCCTTAATGCTTGTCGTGACCTATTAAGTAGATTTTGCCCCCTCCGCAGTTAAATGTACCTGCCCCGGTCTCTGAGGCCCCCAGCACCTCCCTGCTCTGCCTGTCTGAGGAGATGGAGGCAGGAAACAGAAGAGGGCCAGGGCCCTGAGGTCAGGAGGCGGTCCTGCTGTGGTCGCGGGGCCCAGCCGTCAGCCCTGGGTGCCCGGACTCCTCCCTCCCTGCTGTAATAGCAAGTAGGTGAGGCCACAGCCTCAGGAGCCGGGGCCCACACCGACCAGAGGTGAAGACTGTGCAGAGACAGCCAGGCACCAGGCTAGTAAGGGCTGGCAGTCTCCCGAGCCAGGCCTTCGTGTGCCCAGCACCGCGAAGCCACGTGTGGATCGTCTCACCCTGTGGGGTGGTATGCCACCTAGCACACTTTCCAGTCCGGCATAGGGTTGAGAGAGGCTGGAAGTGGCTCGCCTGCCCACCAGCTCGGTGTGGAGCTCCGTCTCCCCAGGGGCTGACAGAACTCGTGCGGAGCTGAGATCAGCCGCATGTGCGAGGGGAATAGGTGCCTTGCTGGAACCAAGGAAAGGAAGACTTAGGGGTGCAGGGGCCTCCGTCTCCTGGTGCCTGGCAGGCTGCCTTGCAGTGGGGTAGCTTGTTCCAAGAGCCCCAGAGCCAGGGCTGATGTGAGGAGGCAGGCTGCCCAGGGGCCTATGGGAGAGCAGCAGACGTCAGGGGTTCCTCAGAACCTTTTAGGAGGTGCAGATAGCCCCAGTTCCAGCTTCAAAGATGCTGGGGGATGATGTGCAGTGTGGCTCTAACACCCACTTCCTGCCCAGTCAGTGACCAGGAGGGGCCCCTCACCCAGACAGGGCCTTGGCTGTGGGCCTGGGTCTGTGTCCTCCCTGACAGCACAGGTTGGAGAGGGTCTGGGTGGGGAAAGAAGGGCCCCAGAGGAACACCCTCTGGGCTCCGAGTATTGGTGCCCCGCCCCAGCTTACTGTTCCAGCATTGGAACTTTGTGCCTGTGGGCCTGAACGGGGGCCGGGAGGAGCCCATACCTGGGCACAGGTGTCCCACCTTGCCCCCTCTCTCAGGGACTATCTCACTACTGTGACCTGTTTGCTAAACTGCCCTTTTGCAAGGTCCTGGGACCACCCGTCAAGAGGCTTCAGAAAGGACAAGGGCGTGGGATGCAGGTGGCCCGTGGTGCTTCAGGAGGTGGGAGAGAAGGCCCTGAGCCCTTGCTGCTGCCTCCTTGGGCAGGGCTTTGTCCCCGGACCCTCCTCCCACGGGCCCTGGTTCTGCTGAATTTCAAGACCCAGGTCATCCTTCTGCTTGTGCAGGCTTCTGACAGACGCCCGTGGCTGGGTCCTGGAGATGCAGTGCCTCCTCTGGGGGCTGGCGATCCCAGGGGAGACGCCACACCAAGCCCTGGCCAGGGATCCTGCTATGCTTTGCTCAGAACCGGGACACATGGGAGACCTCGATAACCGTGTGCTGAAGGACTGAAGCCGACCACCATGGCTGTGTGCCAGGGTGGGTTGGTTTCAGCCCTTAGGTCCTCCGAGCACCCCTACTGGCCCCCACCCTATGGTCTAAGCACCCCATCTTCACAAGGAGTGGAAAGGCAGACAGGCCAGATGGGGAAATGCCCACCAACTTCCCTCTGACCCCAGCACCCAGAACCATCTGGAAGCCCACCCAGCCTGGTCCTTTTTCTGTTCCCTGCAGGCTGGGCACATCGATGCTGTGACCCTGAAGGGCGAGGACATTTACATGGCAGGGAAGACATACGGCCTGGTCCCAGCGGCCGGGGAACACTATGCCCGTGAGTGCAGCACCGGCGGCCTGGCCTCGGCCGGAGGTGGTTGGGACTTTGTTTAAGAGCCAGGGTCTCGCTGTGTTGTCAGGCTGGCCTCAAACTCACAAGCCTCCTGCCTCAGCCTCCGCAGTAGCTGGGGCCGCAGGCATGGGCCACCACTCCCAGCTTGTTACCCTCATCAGCGTGGACGTGTGCCCCTTCAGCCACTTCTGAAGCTCCAGCCCTCTCTCAGGGCCTCCCTCGCCGCACTGGCTGCTGTCCGTGTCCAGGCAAGGCCCTCCTGCCCCGGCCTCGGTTTTCCATCAGTTCAGTGAGTGTTGTAAGAGGTTAGCGGGCTTCTGCAGCAGGTCGGAGAGTGAACGCCTGAGCCTATGACGTCCACAGACCTGAACACCTCTTCTATTTCTAGAGAGTTCTTGTTTTGTTTTGTTTCGTTTGCTATAGGCTATGTGTGCTTAATGGAGAGACAGAGAGACAGAAAGCGAGAAATCACCCCCCAGGGGGGATGGCCATGCCGCAATCCTTTCTCCTCCATTCTCCCCTCAGGATTTTGGGCACACATGCACTTGGTGTGAGTTTCAAGTTGCTGGGTCCAGGACTCGAACTGCAGTCGACCATGTGGGAGTCTAGCACCTTAACCACTACACCACCTGCTGGCCCCCATTGCCTAGTCTTTTTAAATAACCCTTTAAAAAATGAAAAACCATTCTTAGATCACAACCCAAGCAGTATAAAAACAGACAGTGAAGTTGGCTGGCTTTTGGACTGTTGGTCTCGGCTTTTCCATCCCAAGAGGCCAACAGGCCCAGGGAGGTGCCAGCTCATCTGCCCCTTCTCTGGGGCCTGGGCTGGGCTTTGGGCTAGGCTTTGGCCTCTGTCCTCTTAAGTGGTGACCTGGGCCGTCTGTGCCTCGCACCTGGACGTGAGGACTCTCTGGGCGCAGGCAAGTGCTGCCACAGCCCTCAGTGGCACCTGGGTGTCAGGAGAGAAAGATGTTCCTCTGGGCAGATGACGGGGCTGGGGTGGGGCCGGGGCCTCCCAGGCTGCAGCTCTGCAATGGGGCTCAGGCCCTGCCAGATTTGCTCCTGAACGCCCAGGGCCTGGGCCTGGTGCCCTCAGCCCGCACAGCGCTGGGGCGGGACTGCTGCTGGGAAGCCGCGAAACAGCAGGGAAACAGCGGGGACGGGCTTGAGGGAAACTCTCAGAGGAGGGCCCCTCATGTAGTGTCGCTTTCCCCCAGCGGACGACAGGAGCAGTTCGTACTTCGTGGTGGCCGTGGTGAAGCGCGACAGCACCCACGCCTTCACCGTGGATGAGCTGCGCGGCAAGCGCTCCTGCCACTCAAGCTTCGGCAGCCTGGCTGGCTGGGACATCCCTGTGGGCGCCCTCATCCAGAGGGGCTACATCCGGCCCAAGGACTGTGACGTCCTCACAGGTACTGCCTCCAAGGGACGCTGGGACAAGCCACCCGCGAGGGCCAGGGTCCTCTTCCAGCCAGAGCCTCTAAGAGGCAGTCCTGGTGGGATGTCCTCTTCCTCGACAGGCCCCTCGCTCTCTGCCTGCTGGGAAATAGTCCTGACCCGCAGCAGCAGTCAGGGCTCCCTCTGGTGTGTCTGTGGAGGGTGCATGGGGCCCCTCCTCACTCAGGCAGAGTGGTGCCAGCACCAATGGACACGGGAGTGGGTGCAAACACGGGCCTGAGCCTGGCTATGTCATCATCCGCTCCTGGGACTGTCCCCGTCCCACAGCGTTCACCACCTGGGCATCTGGGGGACCTGGTGGAAAGTGGCCAGGCATCTGCTTAAGTGAGAAGCTGGGGACAGACAGGAAAGGCTTGCCAAGCACCCACCATGGCTCCACGTGTGCTAAATGCAACACTCCCGGTGAGAGGGAGGCAGTCAGAAGCTGGCAAGATTCTTGGGCTGGCTGGCCACACGCCTGTCCTGGCTGGTAACCCAGAAAAAAATCAAAACGCGTTTTTATCGAAACCCCCCACATAAGCACACAGGGGTACTAGGACTGGTGGCTGCCACTGCCAGGCAGCAGGACAGGGGGTGAGCTCCCCATCCATGTGGGAGTTGCTATGAAGGTCGGCCACTGCTTCCCAGGGGTCGACAGGGTTCCCCATCTAGACAGCCGCCTCGCCAGCTCTGAGCTCAGCGCCGAGTGGAAACAGCGCAGATGGGTGCCTGGGCCTAGAACCCGCACACTGGCCAGCCCGGAGGGGAGCACCCCTGCGCACCCCTCACCACAGCCCTCCCTCTGCCAGCCGTGAGCGAGTTCTTCAACGCCAGCTGCGTGCCGGTGAACAACGCCAAGCACTACCCGGCCTCGCTGTGCGCGCTCTGCGTGGGCGACGAGCGGGGCCGCAACAAGTGCGTGGGCAGCAGCCAGGAGCGCTACTACGGCGACAGTGGCGCCTTCAGGTACTGGGGGGCGGCCACGGCTGGGCTGGGGGCTGCGGCCGGGCCTCCCTCTGACGCCCACCCGCCCTCTGCGTGGCAGGTGCCTGGCGGAGAATGCGGGTGACGTGGCCTTCGTCAAGCACACCACGGTCTTTGACAACACGAATGGTGCGTGCTCGGGGGGTTGAGGCACTGGGGGCAGGTCCCCATCCCCACCAGAACTGGGATCGCTGGGTAGGAGAGGGCCGAGAGGGGGGCCCTAGACGGTCCCGGTGAGAAGAGACCTCGGCCACACCGGCGTGCCGGATGCGGATCGTCTTCGCGGCCTGGAATTCAGGGCCCTGCGGGCTGAAGAGGGGAGGGGGGGGCACGACCTCAGTCGGTTTGGAGAACCCCCTTCGGGTGGCGTTCATGTGGCGCAAGGCCTGCGGGTGGGGCGGAGGGGTCTCCTGCTCGGGGTCACAGCAGCTACCCGGGCACATCACCCGCCGCTTTTTTCTCTGGAGTCACTTTCTGGACCCCGAGAAAGGTGCTAGGAATGCTCTGCTCGCCCCGAAACCCACGTAGGGCAGGCAGGGTCAGAGCCCCTTAGCCTACGCCGCTGCCGGCTTCCCCTCACCCTCGGGAATCTGAGTTCGGTTTGAAGACGAAGCTGTTTCCTTCCAACACCGATTGCTTGAACTTCTGTGTAGCCCGTCTACACCCCAGCCTGATACCCAGATGCTGGAGGCTCTGTCTTCTGCACCGTGACCCACACACCTCTCCCCAGAGACGCAACTGCAGGCACACCTGGGGCCTGGAGGGGGAAGTCAAGGGGAAGCAAGGCGTGCAGGGGACGGACCTCAGCTAACGTCCCGGCCCGGCCGGCTCCCAGGCAGCAGGACCCCCTCAACAGAGCCGGGGGCTCGCGGCCCTGAGCCCTCCTGTTGCGGCAGCCCCACTCCCCCTCTGACCTCCCACCAAGAACACTCAGGACCATGGAGGGTAGGGGGTGCCTCCTGCGTGGGTCCACCAGGCCCGGCGGGCGCCAGGCCCTTGTGCAGAGTGGAGCTGGGCCCAGGAGGGATGGGCTGCCGAGAGGGCCTCAGAGAGGCCAGGAGGCACCCACCTCTCCCTGCATTCGTTCCCCTTTGGTCTTTACTCAGGAGCTGCCTGGAGGGCCTTCTGTAGAGGGGAGGAGGATCGCAAGAGGGCATGAAGACACTGCAAGTCCCAGGGCCCCATTTCCCAAGGAGCCCTGGGACCCGCCCGCTACTTCAGAACCACCCAGATGCTAGCTTAAAACGCAGAGTCCTGGGGCTGGCAGGTGGCGTGGTGGTTAAGGTGCTAGACTCCCACCTGCCTGAC